CCAATTTCGGTGGAAGTGCGCGAGTTCGATTGGGAATAAAGGAGGAAGGGAGCGTCTCAGCTTCCTTGGACAGAGACCATTGGACTCAGCACCCCGAAGACTACAACTGGTGAAAATTTGATTCCAGGCTTAACTTCCCCTTTAAAGCGAGGCTCTACTGTACATGTACATGTAATGTAAAGAACTAACTTGGTGTGCCCCCGTCAATTTCTACCTGTAAACAACTTCAGCACATACACCAGAATACAGTGCTGAACCAATTCAATTATCATTATCATGCACATGGACCACATGATAGTACATTCGACTGTCCCCCGTGAATTCCGCGGCAGAATATCAGAAATTCCGTGCAGAATTCTGCGGCTAAAAACAGTAAATTCTGTGCTAATTCTGCGAATCCTTCTCTATTCTGCGGCAATTCTGCAAGGAAAATGAGCGTAAAAACAGGTTGAATTTTCGCAACCCCACCGAAGTTTGTTGTCCCTATAAATTCTGAACCAAAATTATGCGAAATCCTGGTCGAAAAAATTAAAAGCTCTAAAATATACTGCCAGTTGATTATGAAAGTCACAAGCAGGTTGGTTTGGCTGTGAAAATACATTGAAAGTCTCCAGAAAAAGCAGTTTTTCTCTCTTTTCTGCAATATTCCGCGGGATTTTCTGAATTCAGCGGACGCTACTGGATTCTGCGGAAATTCTGCAATCCGCGGAATCGCGGAATTCACGGGGGCCAGATTCGAGCGCAGGTATTCCCGGGGGGGGGGGGGGGGGGGGCTTTACATTATTTCACTTGCAAACACATTGCACGTTACATGCACTTTCGATTCCTTCACTGTAGATCTACATAAGAAAAGGAACAAAACAGCCCAGCTGCAGCATGCATTCTTGATCATTAATCTGGCACACCCTGGTTTCAGTCAACCACATGGTACATGTACTGTAGCAACTAAAAGTGCTTATAGCCTAGACACAGGCAGGACGTGCTATATGTGTGCTTTCTTTTCCATCTCCTTCACGACGAGGAAACTCAATACAAGTGCAGACTGCCTCTTTTACGGCCAAAGAAACACAGTGTATGGTGAAGAAAGTGTCCTAAGGCCGAGTAAAGGAAATAGCTAAGAAATACTTCGAAGTAGGAATGGTAAAGCTACTAAAAGACTGGAACTGTACCCTTTAATTTAAACAACTTCCAGCTAGTATGTGACATACAAGTCAGTTAGGTTCAACACTATGCCAGTGGATGACAGGGCAGTGCCCAACTCCGATGCCAACCAGCCACGTCATGGACAGACGCACCAATGAGATGGTTAGGGATAGTCGGAGGCGAAAGTTAACCACAAGGAAGAACGGAGAAATTGTGTACAGCTACAAACAGGATCCGGAAACACAAGCTTTCGGTCAAAGGGAATGAATTCTACACGAGCATCATTCCCCATACTTCACAGTCTAGCCAGCACCAGCATTTACACACTGAATGCCAGCATAAGATAGAGTGACCAAATTAGGACAACATCACCAGGCCTGGCAATCAAACAGAAGATTGTTGTCCATAGACTGTTGTCCATATTCAAGAGCCACATGGATCTGTATGCAGTGACCATGATACTTGATAGGCACTTGGATACCCATATGTGCACAGAATATGATTGGAAAAACCTCAACCAAGACAGAGGCACTGAAAATCTGTCTTCAGTGGCTTGTTTAATTAAACACGGCTACGAATCCCACCAGACCAATTTCACACAATCCACTACAAACGAGCTGTAAATGGTCAGCGTGCTGTGTTCGAAACGCTGGACCACGTTCCTCGGCAAAGGACAAGACGGGTGTGCACGTACTCTTAACCAGTTCAGCCGTGTATGGGATGTGACAGTATTGCTTGTGACCGAACAGCTTGCAAGGAACGAGACAATTCCTCTAGTAACTGCATATGGCACATTTCACAAGGCATATCCTTGGCACTGAGAGTGCACCATGACGATTGTTCCTTCATTTCTCTGACCAGTTGGGTCCACACTTGAGGTCCATAATCAAGATGGAGAGCAGCCAGCTTGCTCTATAGGAACGCATGCGACAATGTTCAGTAGATGGCATAATCCCGACTCCTGCATGGACAAAAACAAAATGAAAAGCCATACAAGTCATAAGCATTGAAGTTCATTGTGAGGAATTATTGATCAATGACCGAGTACTGTAGAACGGGTAATTCTAGCGACTTTTAATTTTAGCGTTTTCCCATTGTCAACCGGTTAGCGACGTTTTATTTTAGCGATTTGCATTTTTCTTCATTGTACACATTTTGATACTGCATTCTACTACTGTATGTACAAACCATCACTGCCGTGTACTATGAGTGCTAGTACGAGAGAACATCATAAAACATGTGCTAACTAGTACCAAGAGTACATAACCCCCCAGAGTGTGCAACGCCTGATCCAGCTCTGCATAGGGTCTTGGTCGAGCGGAATCGGATCTTTGCGTCATAATACCGTACACATCTGAGGGGAACCCGGGGAGTCGCGGGTACTCTTGGATCAAAAACAATGGTGCCCTGCCTCGAGACCGGCCTTGCGCTGGTGTGGAGTGTACGCATGACATCAGAAGATCCGATTCCGCTCGACCAACACCCTATGCAGAGCTGGATCGGTGTTGCACACTCTGGGGGGTTATGTACTCTTGCTAGTACTACTAAAGTGCTGGCAACTGAAATCCGACCCCTTGGGGGTCGGATTTCAGTTGCCAGCACTGTACTAGTATTACTACTCACGGATCACCAGTGCACTACTAATGTCTCAACGGATTAGCGACTTAAAACTTTAGCGAAAAATGAGTTGATCGCTAAATTCGCTAGGGTTTTTACGTCGCTAAAGTTACCCGTTCTACAGTAATCGGTATAATCGTTTCAGCCCTACTTGTACAGTGCGTATCGGTTATAGCGTGGTCGTGTAAAAGAATATACTGCCTACAAGAATGAACTCTCATGTTTTCATAATCATAACATGGATTTCAAGTGCACATTTATTCTTAAAAGCAATTTTATCGTACAGTAGAATATATCGGTCCTAAGAATGGACTTTGTGTAGCAAAACATACCAGATTAGTACAAAGTATATCGTCTGTAGTAATAACATCCGTCCACTGCAGTTCCGACCTGATTCGCGTTGGGTTGTAGTGCTACAGGTTCAACTGTTGTGGTCATGTAACTATGACCAGCCGCATGCACAGTAACACTACATTGCATGTACGATGATCTTCCTGACTCCGCGTACATGCACGTGATGTGTCACATTTGATTTATCGTGTGTAAGAAATATCGGAAATAAGAATAGAAAGTTGTTTTTCAAACACCCACGCTATAACCGATGCCTACTGTACTTCATAGGTGAACCCAATCAATCCCACGGGCCACGACACGCTGATACCACAGGGTCCACCATATGCCATCTTTACAGGGTTTAATGCGCAGCTTCCACAATCCATACTGGTAACACAACTACAAGCACATGCGCATATGCGCCTCTATGTGAGACCAATCGACCTGCAAAAGTAACAAACACGGCAAAAGTGTGTGTATAAGCGCATGGGCCATTACGATATGGTCCTCTTGTCAGGGTCTGTTCACTGCAGTGCTGTCCTTTTTTCTCGGCTTACGGGGCAGGAATATCTCAACAGAAATGTCCCCGCTGTGTTGGTGATGTGCAAGCGGCGTGGGTCGGCTAAGAGTGCAGTATGGAATGGTGGAGTGAGTTAATTCACCGAGAAACGATGAAGGTAATAATTGCGCCTGCCGAACACCATGAGACTCCAGAACATGTCTTTGTCTATGGAATAATTAAGAGTGCATACATACTTATTTAATTCTACCCAACTTCCCATGACTACCATGTATGAACTGCGAAATCGGGTGAAGAGCCTCAATGGACATCGCTCTGAACTACAATTTTGACACTCGTTTGCAGCTGATCTGAGAACGCGATCAGCCTTTTGAAGTGTATCTGTTCACATTCAAAACACCCATTAATATTTGTAACATCGTAGATAATTGTCCTCAAGTTTACGAGAAGAAAATCAGAAATCCATCAGCCATACTAGTTTTCGTGATTCTCGTGTATTGGCAACTAGGGTATTAGGAAAAATTCGCCAAATTTTTGGGCAAGTTACTATCAAGACAATTTTTGCTTTATGAGCAGCCTAGGACAATGGACTATACATACCTGAGGTCTGGGTGGTGTCCGGTAGTTCTTTTTTGGTTCTCACGCCATCAAGTATTTTGGCATCCAAAAATCATAAATTCTGGACGACGCAAAATTGAGAAAAGTGGCTCTGCTGCAACATGACGGACAAATCTCTGGCGGAACGGCTTCCAGATTCTGTTTAGGGACTATCCTAGCCCTCAGCAGGCCAAGTTACAATAGCATTCATGAAAGTCTTCCATGCCAAATCGAAGACGATCAAAATGGTGATTCTGCTCAAAAGTGGTCCCAGAAAAAGTCGAAAAAAGCGGCGTCGTCATCTTCATTTTGCATAAAGATTCGGGTCATTTTTGGCCCTTGGCGCATGGACTGTGTTTGGGTGAGTATTTTACTCTCCAACTCAGATGGACAAGGATGACGTGATGGACCATCATGTGACCATGGTGACAAGTCATTATTGTACCGTACTACTACTGTCAGTACTGACGTGACCATGTACCAACGACGAGCCTTTTTTCAAGTCAACTAATTTTTAGCTTTCCTCGTTCATGTTTTATTAAATTTCATGTGTTTTGAGGTTGAGCGCTCGATCTGAAGGCACGTTACAATAGTGGTAACTATTACTTACTTTTGTTTATGAGTTTTGGAGCTGGAGCGTTGTTTTCAATGTTTGTGAACAAAGGGTTGGCAGATATTTAGATGGTGATATCGCATGAATTCCTTGACCATGGAAGTGGAGCGGGGGAAAAGCCTCCTCGACGAGTTGGCAAGTAAGCACAGCACTCACAGCACTTGTTTCTGGTTCATTTGAATTTTGGCCCAGCTTGACTTCTCTATGCTTGATTGCTGTCCAATTACCGACCGTGATTGCATGTAGATTCAGTTGATAGCATGAAATCGGTGTTTTCCACAAGCAAGTCAGCTCTTACTGATGACCACACAGCGCTGCAAACGTTCTGCTTGGCCCTGGAGACCGCTCTTCGTCATGGTCAGAAAGGTACACCTCTTCTCATGTGTTTTGAAAATATTGTATTGCAGCGCACTGCACTGCACTTGTCTCTGCCATAACTAATGATAGGCACCACTGTAACTATGTACTCATTGTTTGGTCGACAGTCAAAGGTGAATTCCCTTTCTCAGTAGGTCAGCAGGAAGATGTGTTGCGAGTCACTAGGTCCACGGTAATCTCTCATCACTATACGTATGATACTGTTGTTGACATTGAAATCCGTTGAGAAGTCAAGCGGCCACTGGGCGTTGGCCTTGTAGCCGTGAGCACTGCCGCTGGTCTATTTGTACAGTGTACACATGAACTCCAGTGCGTGTACGTGCTGAGCGCTAAGCGGCGGCCCCAGTCACTCCACCGGATTCCAATGTCCACAACAGTACAACGGGCACATTCTACATACATCTATGCCCATAACAAGATACAATACGCTGCAGTCTTTATCATGGTGAACAGGTCGCATGTGAAAGCGCATTGAAAAATACACGAAATGTGACAGCGCTCGGAGTGATTCTGAAGCTTGTTCTTTTTCAGCCAAGCCATGGAAGGTCTTCCTGCCAGCGGCTTTGACTCGACACGAGTGCTGGACATCGAGTTGAGCGCCTCCCTAGCACTTCCTTCACCTTCACACATCCATTCCCGTACCAATTGAATGTGAACCGAGCTTCACCTGTTCACCAGCGATTCGAAAATATCTCACGCATGATGCCTAAAAGTGACCGTTGGTCTCACCAGTCCTTGGAAAAGCTCTATCACTAGAGTGTATGTAGCCCAGCAGCCAGGCTGGATAGAGGTATGCCCACAGCATGGCTGTGTGTGCCCACCGCATGGTTGTGTGTGCCCACCGCATGGTTTTGTGTGCCCACAGCACGGTTATGTGCATGTCTGTGCCTGTGTGCATGTCTGTGCCTGTGTGCATGTCTGTGCCTGTGTGCATGTCTGTGCCTGTGTGCATGTCTGTGCCTGTGTGCATGTCTGTGCCTGTGTGCCTGTGTGCATGTCTGTGCCTGTGTGCCTGTGTGCATGTCTGTGCATGTCTGTGCCTGTGTGCCTGTGTGCATGTCTGTGCATGTGTGCCTGTGTGCATGTCTGTGCCTGTGTGCCTGTGTGCGTGTGTGCATGTCTGTGCCTGTGTGCCCGTGTGCATGTCTGTGCATGTGTGCATGTGCGAGTATTGTAACTTACAGTTGAACTACACTCATTGGCACATTGTCTGGTGTTGTCTGGGACCCAGTCAGGATAATCCAATCCGTTCATTTTGAGCACATTCAAAATTTGTCAATCTGCGGACAGAACTGTTTTGTCCTTTGTGGACTCATCAGCGCAGCACAGAGAAAATGAGGCTGAACAAATGTTGTCATATACTCAGCGTACACCATATTCAGTTACCAACTAGTCCGGAAAAAGCTATCTCAATTCTGCACAGGGTTGGAGTGCATGTACTGTCGTGGACATGGAACTCCAGTTGAATGACCGGGGCCGGCGCCCTCAGCGCGCACAGACCGCTGCATGAGTGCACATGTTGATCCGATGCGACCAGCGCGCTGCAGCGCATAAATGCATGTGTGTACCGTTTACCCACAGCTGCATGGCCTGTGCCCTGGGGCCGCTAGACGTGCGACCGGATTTCCATGTCCACGGCAGTACTTGTCTAGGGTTAGCCTAGTCAGCTCTTATAGATCTTGTTGTTTCACCAGGAACCTGGAAGGCTCTGTTAGACATTAGACACCCTTAGCAAAAAACGTTACTTTGCAACGGTATTACCGTAAGGGAAAAATACCGAGATTTGAGTGCGACCTTTAGCAAGATGCATGCTATTTTTGGTACACTGTTGCCACGAGAATCGCGTGGTACAACCATTTATAGCTCCATATACGCGGTGAGATGGGTACACACTACGCAATATTTGGCCAAAACCTACTGTTTGTCACAACGATAAATCAGCCCCCACAACGGTTTTACGCTGCAGCTTCAACGCTATATGGTCCTATCTAATGGATGATCAAGGTACGAGTACCGTAACAAATATAGCGTTACCGTTGTTTGCTAAGGGTGTCTACTGCCGTAGTTTACTGCAGGTATTCAAGTCGATGAGAGTTTGCTTTTGGAAATTTCTTTAGAGCATTCTCTGTGTTTTGTTTTGTGGCTACAGAGCGTTCCTCACTGTTCGGTGGCAATAAAGACTATTGGCAGTACTTCAAGGCTGGCCTGGCGGACAGTCGCACCTTCTTTGATATCTTGCAGTCTGTGCACAACCAGCCAGATGTACGTACAGTCAACTTCGCTAATAACGACTTCGGAT